GACTTATTTGTTCCAAAAAATTGTCCAAGGACTTATTTAACATGTTTTGGAATGTCCAATGACTTATTTGTTCCAAAAAAAAGTCCAAGAACTTAATCATTCCAAACAAGAAAGTTTATTGGTTTTTATTGTACTTTTCTCTTTTAAAACACATAAAATCGTATTATAAAATCGACAAAAATAAATAATAAAATAAAACATTAAAATTAAAATGTATCTCACTATATTGTATGAGTATCCTTCTAATTAAATCTCATAAACATTTAATTGATGATAATATCTCAAATTCATTGTTTTTTAGCCACAATTTTAAAACAAGTATTCTCAAAATCCAAAAAAAAAAGGTAATAACTTAAAAGCCGTATAATCCAAGGGCTTATACCGGTCCACGTGTCAAGATCAAAACCCTTTATCATCATCCGTCGCGAAAAGCATTCATGACCCATCTTGCATCACGCCATTTTGACAATTATCTGTACGGACAAAATTCGGGTATTTTCGTAAATAAAACCAAATTGGAGGGGCGTTATATAAACTCCTCCCCCTTTTCTTCTCTATATAAACCCCCAAAATACTTGGTTTTGAAACCGCTAGCACAGGTGGGAGAGAGAAGCGGATGGTGCGTTGTAAGAGAACGAGTGAGGGTTTAGTTGAATTTCTTCACGTAAATTCATGGTATTTTCGTGAAAAAAGGTTGTGCATTTCTTAATGATCTTGATTGATTTTGAGGTTTTCAAATAAGGGTATTGTAATTTGATGTGCTTTTTTTAAATGAGTCGTTTAGGGTTTAATAAATCGGTGGTTTACCATGGGGAAACTTGTTTGGGTGAATTGGATGTGATTCCAACAGGGGATAAGAGTTTTCAATTCCCAAACAACGAGATTAGGATTCACCATTTTTCTCAGGTTAGCGAACGATGTCCACCTCTTTCAGTTCTCTTGACAATCTCTTCGTTCTCAGTTCGTTGCAAGCTTGAATCGTCATCCCCTGTTAGACAATCCCTGCTCATCGATCTTCACGCTTCTTGCTTCTACGAACTAAAGGTCATGATCATTTTTTCAATAATTTATGTATGTTTCTGTGTTGTTTAGTTGTTGATTTAAATGAAAATTTTAAAGGAAAGGTTTTTTTGTTTGTTTTTGTTTTTGGTGTTGTTGCAGACGGCTGTAGTTGTGCTTGGAGATGAAGAGGTGCATTTAGTGGCAATGCCAAGCAAGCTAAAGAAATTTCCTTGTTTTTGGTGTTGTTTGGTTCCAGCTCAATTGTACAATGCTTGCTTAGGGATGTTGAACATGCGGTGTCTTTCCATTGTGTTTGATCTTGATGAGACACTTATTGTTGCAAATACGATGAAGTCTTTTGAGGATAGGATTGAGGTTTTGACTGGTTGGATTGGGCAGGAGTCTGACCCCCTTCGGGTTTCTGGGATGACTTCTGAGCTCAAAAGATATGTGGAGGATCGAGAATTATTGAAGCAGTACATTGAAAATGATGCTGTTACAGATGATGGGCAGACATATGGTGTGAAACTGGAGGGAGTTCCTATGAATGCTGCTGGTAACGAGCGTGTTGTTCGACCAGTTATAAGATTGCCAGAAAAAAATATCGTCTTAACCCGCATTAATCCAGAGGTTAGAAGATTGATTGCTTTATATATTGTTCTTATTTCTTTAATGAACTGTCGTGTTTTTAATGTTACGGGTGGGGGGATATTCAGTGCCAGAACTATACATATATGTATTTTGGCAATTTTGCTAGAAGCATCGGCATATTTCCTGTTTAGGTGTCCGTAATTTTATTTACTGCAATTCTAAAGTTGGAGAAACTGGAATGAACAATCATTTAAGACATATGTTGAAGTGATTTGAGTTGTGATTAAGGGCAGCTCCAATGGTACGCCAAAAATGCCATTTTGCCGGTTTGGAAACTTCACCGGCAGGGAAAAAGAATGGTATTTTGCCGGAGATGGGAGAGAAACGGTGTATATGCCGAGTGGTTGGAGATGAAGCAACTTTTGGCGTCCATTGTCCCACCAATTTACCCTTTTTTCGGTGCTAGGGTTGGAGATGGTCTAAATCATTATATTCTAGAAGCATTAGCATTCCCTAGAAATATCTCTTATAGAAGCTTACGTGGTTAAATACAAAACCCTAATGAGTACGATTCGTCTTTATAGTAAGGTTTTGACCGTAATAAATGTTTTGACTGTGATAAATGTTTTCAGTTCTGGCACTAGCAAATTTTTGAAAATGTATCTCTTTGCTGGTGCTACCATTAATGTAGAGGTGCAGTCGGGTATTATGATAACTTCAATTGAATTATAACATTTTTCTTCCTATGCTTACAGTCTTTTTGTGGCCTCTGCATGTCAATTGATAAGGAACTGAATTTACCTTTGCAAAAGCTTAGTATAAAGGCAGAGAAGCTTTTCATGATTACATGATTATTATGAGTGTGTGGAGTGCTCATCTCGTCCTTTTTTTTTTTGTCTTTTTTGGTATCCCGAGTGTGGATTACCATTGAATCAGGACTTAATACTGTTAGTCATTGGTTTAAAGATGGAATGCAGTGCTAAAAATACTATAATCATGCAAACATAGGTTGCAGGATTCATCTGCTGTTATTGTGTTACCTTTCTTGGGCGGGTAACCGATGCATTGGGTGTTGATGGTTCTTGTCAGAGTATAAAGATCGAAATGGATGTTATGTCTTTTGCCTTCACTTATTTTCTTTTTCAGTGATCTTCAAGTCTTCTGGTGGTTTATGTTTTGATAGTGCTAGTGATGAATATCGAGGCAGAACAGGATCTATTACTAATCCTATATTCTTAGCCATGCCCCCATGCCATTAAATTTTCGTTCTTTGCTTCTCGTATTGTACAAAGATGGAAAGGCAGTGTCATCAATGCTACACATAAGTTGCATGATTCATTGCCTGTTTATTGCCGCTGTCATTTTGTTACCTTTTGGCTGGGTAACTGATGCCTAGTTGATTTTACACTCGAGACATGCGACTAATTGTATCTTTCTTTCTTTTTCGTACTTTTATGACCTCCAAGTCTGCTGGTTTTCAATGTTTTGGCAGTGCTAGTGGGTGATATTTTAGTTGTGTTATTGGCGAAAAGATGTATTACCATAGCAGAACAAGAAAAAAGATTGACAAGGGACTTTATGGCCCACAAAAACAGAGCTCAGGAACCACTACATTACAGTAAACAAGCTAAGACAAAACCTGATGAACTGCTATGACTTCTAGCTTCTTAGTAATTACAAAGTAATCTTAAGGCATAACGACTTTTTGTAATCATGTCACTAAGTTTTTGACAACTTGGTATAGCAATTAGTTGTTTTCTTTTCCTTGGTATTCTTTTGTTGTTGTAATTGTTGTTGTCATTAGCAGGGAAGTGATAATACTTGAGTGATCACTCAGAAGGAATAGTACTTGGGGAGAATGAGAGATGGACACCTGGGATAAAAAGGATAGGGCCCATTGGGTGGACCTACATGGGGCTTGCTTTGTGTTGCTATGCTTCCACAAGTACTATTTGCCTCATAATCGCTCAAACACTATCAGCATCCTTATCGTTTTACACTTCCATGTATACATATATGTGTGTGCATTCATATGTATGTATTTATGTACTCATAAGCTTTTGTCAGCTATAGTAATAATTTGTTTGCATGTACAGATACGTGATACCAGTGTGCTTGTGAGGTTACGACCTGCTTGGGAGGATTTGCGAAGCTATTTGATTGCTAAAGGACGCAAAAGATTTGAAGTTTATGTCTGCACGATGGCTGAGAGAGATTATGCACTGGAGATGTGGAGGTTGCTAGACCCGGAAGCACACCTAATCGGTCCAAAGCAACTGTTGAGTCGTGTTGTATGTGTAAAATCAGGCATGCATCTTTTCCATATGAAAGAATATTTTTACATATTGTTTATAATAATCAATCGTTGACATTCTTCCTCTTAGGGTACCTGCCAAAGTATTTTTACGTGCACCTAAATGTTAGTCTAGTACTAGAACTCTAGTTAATGTCACTGCCAAAGTATTTTGTTCTTGAACACAAGTGTGTCCCAGCTGTTAGTTGCATTTCTATATCAACTCTCTCTCTTCCTTGTCCAATATGTTTAATCCTTGCTACTTTTATCATTGTATAGGTGCACGTAAGTCCTTGCTCAATGTCTTCCAAGATCGGAACTGCCATCCAAGGATGGCAATGGTAATTGATGATAGGTTGAAGGTTTGGGAAGAAAAGGATCAACCTCGAGTTCATGTGGTACCTGCCTTCACTCCATATTATGCTCCACAAGCAGAGGTATTGTAAAATTGCGATCTTGATTTCTTCGTTCACTTTGGTGTGCCAACTCACTAATATGATTTTCTCTTAATTTTCTCTTGATAGACAGCGAATGCTGTTCCAGTTCTTTGTGTGGCAAGGAATGTTGCATGCAATGTTAGAGGTGGTTTCTTTAAGTAAGATGGCTATTTAAAATTGTCAATGCCAAATTAGAAATCAGAATAATATATCTGATGTTTAAAAAATGCCTTTTTTTATTTGGTATTTTCTTTCTGGCTTTAGTGCCTCAAATATACATCAAGAATACTTTATTTACTTATGCTATGTTGACCAGAGAATTTGATGAGAATCTACTACGGAGGCTTTCTGATCACTTCTACGAGGATGAAGTTTTAAATCTACCGTCTGTGCCAGATGTTTGCAAGTATTTAATGTCAGAGGTGGGTAAATAAGACACCAATCGGTTTTGATATCTTGAAGAAGTCTTACTTATTCTTTAAGAATTGGTTTCAGGATGCTAGTTTCATACCAAATGGCAATATACATGCCCCCATGGCTGAAGGAATGAATGGTCCTGAAGTGGCACTGAAACTGAATCAACAGGTAGGCTTTCAAAAAAATTATATTATGATGGTTTTTTTGTGTTTCTATTTCATGTGCTATCGGTGTAGAACTAAATTCTTCTGAGGAAAATCTACATAGAAAGTACTGACATTCTTCCTATTACCATGAATAAAATTTCATTTCTTTCTATGTTCATCTTATTCAGGATGCTAGAAACGTTGCCTCTTCTGCATCAAATCTCAGTACTACTGGCGTCGAGCTAAAACCTGAAAAACCTCAGCAGCATGTTCCAACTACAAATATCTATGGTCCACCATCTTTTAGATCAATCTTTCCTTCAGAGAGTATGTACTCATAAAGTCTTTAGGTTCTCTTTCCACAGAAAAGAGCAGGAACTTTGTTACACTTTGTTCTTAGTATAACTTAACTATATTGCAGAACCTAGCTTACTTGGCCCCATCCAAGGACCTGAACTATTAAACAAACAGCGAGCTGGCCACTATCCTCTCTCTCATGGTACATCTAGTTCTTTCTCTGCAGGGTTTCAACCTCTCGTATCTGAAGGAAAGAGTGAAGAGGTATTACACATTACGAGACCTTGTTGAAAATTTTAGTTAGGGATTCTTTCCTGCAAGTTCAGGATGTGTATGACCTTTATGGAAATTATTAAGTCTCTATTTGCTTATCTAGCTTTATCTTGCTATTTTCAGGTATTCCATGGATATGGATTGCAAAAGAAGAACTTGCCACAAGCAGGTCAGCTGTCAGGTACTTGAAGGAGCTTCTATTGTAAATCTTTATGTTCAACACAAAGGCTAACTTATAATTATTTTCAGTTAATTGTATGATTCTTTATACTTACTGACGAGGATTATATTAATATAGGAAAACTTCGCTAAATTGTATATTAGGCATTTAGGCTAATTTCTAGTATTTATCCTTTTCAAGTATTCTTATTATAATTAGGATAATTAACAGATTTGATTTCTTATACTTAATTATTATACTTTCTGGTTCCAGAACATTATCAATTCTTTAAAAGATGTTATATGACAATTATGATCATTTGGTTGGCTAGAATAGTGCTGTATTTTCTTCGTTGTTGGTTCTTGCAAGTCGTGTTGTAATGCTTTATTCTTTTTCCAATATATTCAACTTTCTTAGGTCTTAATGAATGTTTGTTGTCCTAGTTCTTTATGTTCAATCGTTTTTTGATTGCATCCTATTATGTGATTATATGTTAAGACTTAGGTTTAGCTCCCATTGTTTTTCTATCTTGTCTATGAATAAGATTTTCTGGCCAATAAAAGTAGGGAAACAACAAATCACAAATATACAATGAACAATGACAAGAAGATGTACACCAAACAATGGAGTTTTTAACAAATTTTGGATTTACCCAATGTTAGTGATGAATTAAATTAAAATTTTTAATTCTTGATGGACAGGACTCAGAACTTGGAAGTCTCTTAATGGAAGTTTTTTATAAAAATTCCTAGATGGACCTAAATATTGTTATACTATTTCTTCATGTCCATCTCTTTTTCATATTTGTGGAAGACAGGTGTACGACAGAATCAATCATTCTATAATAGCAAAAAGATTCCTACTGATGGTGGAAATTCAAACTTGCCACCTTCTTTATCCATAGGAGTGCTGCAGGAAATTGGACAAAGATGCGGTTCTAAGGTATGCCAATCTTTTCTAGTAGAAAAGCAAGCTTGTTCTTATCTTCTCTGTCCTTCATAGCATCTTTATCTTCATTTTGTAGGTTGAATACAGATCCATATTGAGCTCTAGCAAGGATTGGCAGTTTTCTTATGAGGTGAGTAGAGTGCACTGTTATTGTTGCTAGCATAACTTCTCTTTCATCATCATTTTATTTATTAATTTCATCGTCGGTCAAGGGAACATTCTAATCATGAGGGGAGATTTGGAGGTCGCTACGTTATCACTAAAATGATGGAAATTAATTTATAACTAGAAATTATGTCACCCTAGACTACTATCCACAAGGATATTCACTCGAAGCATTTATGCCATATAACATATTTTTCATCGCATCAACAAACCAATTCACATATAATTAATATGCTTCAACCCTTAGTATAATATGTTTATACCCAAACCAACCATCCTCACACTTACGCTACATGCACTTTGTACAGTTTGGAGGTATTAACAATTTAACCTAAGGTTTCTAACGCTATTTCAACATGGCAATAACTTAAGTTGATCATTAATTGATAACATTTTACTCATTCTTAACACTCAAAAGTCATTCATATAATACAAATATAAAATCGATTACACATATTAAGACTAGAGTACAAGTGTACAGCAGCCTTGTGTGTCCAGTGTTTGTCATGGCCCATAGGGGAGACATGAGCTTCCTAGCCAACCATAGGTTTACTTTAGTGAATAAACTCTCTTGGAAGCTCCATAGAAAGGCCTCTTATAGTAGCTATAATCCTCAGTGATGGAAAGGAAACCAAACTAGGCTCAATCTCATGGAAGATGTCAAGATTGAAGGCTGGATGGCCTACAACCTCTTGAAGGAGATGGGACATGGGAGAGGCATGAGAGTGGCTGGGAAAACAGAGGAGAATGATTTCTATGAAGGGGGAAAGGATGGATGACCTACAACCTCTTGAACAAGATGGGACATGGGAGAGGCATGAGAATGGCCGGGAAAACAGAGAAGAATGATTTCTAGTGAAGGGGGAAAGGATGGAATGAGGTATGATCCTCATGACCTGGAGTCATCATCCAGGCTCAAAATTTGATTCCACTTGGGCCCATAATCCTCCAACTAAGTTTGTGCATGGAAGCCTAAAATCTTGTCATGTTTGTATCAGGTGTAGGGCTATGCCTAAGCTCAGGGTGCAAGGCTTCGTTAAGCTTGTACTAGCATAGGGCCTTGTTGTCTAGTCACATGCATAGGGATAAGCTTGTATTCATGTTGTAGGGCTATAGTTGGTAGGTGTAAGACATAGCATAATGCACCAACAAGTCCATACATGTTTCAAGCTCTTCACTTTTTGGCTCCATACCCTTCCATTTTATCATGTTTGTGCTGCAACATTTGTTTATCTGTATTTACATCAAAACTATACAAAAATGTATCATATCCACTTATTGTTGATGTTTAACGATGGAAATGATGATGTATAAAGGAGTTATCAGTTATTTGCACCGAACTCATGTAGGCTTGTATTAATCTGTCAAGGTGTGATTTTGGGAGGACCTTGATGAAATTTTTTAGATGATGCCAATTAGAGATCTTAATGGGTCTTGCATATGGAGGTAATAGAGGCTGGAAAAGAACTCATGAATAGAGTTAGCACGGAGCGGTTTTAAAAAAAGTCCGGTCTGATCTAAACCTGGTCAACATGGTCCGGTTAATCCCTAAATAGTCTGGATCTGGCAAGGTAAAGACCGAATGCGGACCTGTGGTGCCTGGTCCTGTTCCAAAAAACCAGAAGGTTTTGGTATAGTTCATTAAAAAAATGAAAAAAAGGAAAAAATAAGAACAAATTTAAACAACATTACTAGTCTTTATCTGGTCCAGGATTATTTTGTACGGTGAAAAGACTAGTCTTTATCTAGTTCGATCAAAAAACCTGGTCCGAGAAGGACCGCCAGTGTGGTCCAGACTGATGAATTCATGGACCGGTCTTTATCTGGTTCAACCCGTCAGGGCCGGTCCGAATGCCCATTTCTTCTGATGAACATTGGAGTATGTAGTAGCAATCTATAAAAAGAGATTTTAATTTGAAACTTCTTGTGACTTGATGGTTTGTAAATGCTTAGGTTTATGGAACCTCACTCTTTTCTAGTGACGTTTCTTTGGAGACCATGCATGATTGTAAAGTCATACACTAGGAGGGTATGGTAATATAACATATATTTATAGTTTGCACATCAGGTATGCATGGTGTTAAATGGACTTAGGATTCCTCGGAGCTAGGTGGTGGAAGTTCCTTGAGATATCAAAAGGTAACCTAGGAGGATATGAATACGAGAAGGAGATGACATGTTGACTTGTAGCGAAGGAGGTGGTGGATTGAGGTGCACAAAAACTGATAAGGGAAAAAGGGATGCTATAAACTTTGAGAGAGAAGACCAAAAAAAAGATAGATGAATTCTATTGAAGGTGTCATCAACTGATAAGGGAAAAAGGGATACGACAAACCTTAAATCAGGTAATATAACATATACTTATATTTTGCACACCTATTGAAGGTTTGTGTGTAGAATCAATCAGATACTACAAGTAAACCATCTCCAAGAAAAATGAAAGATGGTAAACTCTAGGGATTCAAAATACTTTTGAACTTTGGAAGAGTTTTGAGGTATTGGCCATTGTATGGTGAGGCTCATCAAGCATTGATGTCGGCTTTAAAACCTAGAATGTGCTAGATGCATAAAAGAAGAGTATATAGGTCCTAACCTACAAGATCAAAGATGCGTGAAGCTGTACAACTTATTGAGGGAAGATGCTTATGGGCTGTACAATGAAATTATGAGTGTCTTTGGTGACCATAGCCTAAGGGTTGGGACCAAGGTGTCAAAAAGTCAACTTGGTTTCATGTAAGGTTCATCAATGGTTGGTATCTTAAATGCCGACCTATGGGTAACTAGTATGAATAGGAGACTTGTACCAAGAGGAGGTTGTAGGAGAGGCTGAGGTTGGCCAAGATTGATCGACACGATGAATTAATGAAAAGAGATTCGAGTGAGTGGATTATACCAAAGAAGCTGGATTAGGTAACAATATGTTGAAAGATTATGTTCATGTCATGGAACCTTATAGTGTTCACCTACATATGGTTTTTGTTGGTTCACCTCTTTATAAACTGTATTGGTTCTTATACGTACCCAACCAACTTCTTTGGGATAAAAGGCTTATTGATGATGATTTTGTAAACTCCATTATGTGATATAGAGACTAGTGATGATGGCCGGTAAGTTATCATAGGAACAACCAAATACTATGCAAGTGTATATTTTTAGATATGAATGATCAACAAAATAAGTAAAATATATCAGCCTTCAATTATTCTTGGTGCATTTTCGCATAATCTTGTACTGTAAAGTTTATAGTCTTTAGCATTTGATTGTTGGCAGTGTCCCTTGTTTCCCTTTAAATTTAGAAACTATACATGTAGATGCATTTGGTATACATGACATGCTAAGATTGTCAATTAAGTAATTACATTTATTGAAAGGTAAATTTATGGATGTGGTAAATCTTTCTTCTCTCTGTCTTTTGCACTTGGCTTAGCAACCAACCTATACTGTTTCATATCATTTTCCTCGGCCTCATGTTGTTATTGGCATATATTCCGTCCTTTCTGAAATTATCCCATGCAGATATTTTGGAATGTACCAAACTATGTTTCCATCCAAATGTTCTCTTCTGAAATTTTAGATAGGGTGTACTATCTTATATTTCTGTTTTGTGCTGAATATACCTCAATGATGCAGGTCTTATTCACGGGTGAGAAAGTAGGTATTGGGATGGGTAAGACACGAAAGGATGCACAACAACAGGCTGCTGAGAATGCCCTTCGCAGCTTGGCTGGTGAGAAATTAACTGATTCTTTTACCACATATGGTCTACTAATTGAATTGATAGAGTCCTCTTGATGGCTTTTAGATAACCAAATTATTTCATCCATGCTTCTAGCAGTTACCATGGGATATTGATTTATAAAGTACATAACTATGGGTCTGAAATAATTCTTGCTTATCGACAATATTCAAACCACATGTGCTAATGAAATACTTAGTTCGTTTGGGTTTGACAACCATTTTCTCGATTGAAGATAAAGCTGCATTACCTGATTGTGTTTATTCCTTCCGTTTCTTATTTCACTCTTCACTGGATGAGTTGCATTATGTAAGTCTCTGATGATAACATATAATTATGCTCATGTTATTACAGATAAATATGTAACGTACGTCATCTCGCAGTCTGAAACAGTAGACAAAGATTTTGGCGACCTTTCTATTGAATCAGAAAATGGATTTTTATGGGAAACAACCGTTCCTGATTCAGATGAATCACTTGCCAAAGATGGGTTGTTTGTTGAGAGCTCCTCTGAGGTGGGAATCAATATCAATGCTGCTTCTTATATACCGTTTCACTTAAGAATGTAGGTTGTGCTTGGATAAAGGGTATTTGACCCGACCACCAGATAGTATATTACCACTGTTTGGTGATGCTTCCTTCCCCCTCTTAACAAAGGTAAATTATTGGTGGTCAGTCCATTGTTTCTACCCATTATCCAAGTACTTCCGTGCAACTTAAAGCTTCATATCGATTTCAGTAAGTGTAGGATTTTATTTGTTCAAATAAAATATGCTCAAAATATGGAAATCTGTTGGGTTTCTTTTCCAGATTTTTCCTAATGATTTTTACCACAATAACTGGTTTCCGTTCATTTTTATAGGTCAGAAGGACCACTTTGGTCCATTTCATTAAATGCAGGGATTTTTTTGTTCAAAAAAATTGTCCAGACTAGATCGCTCAAAATATGAAAGTCCATGCTGGGTTTTTTTTTTCTCGGATTGTTCCCTAAAAACTAATATTTTTTTTTAACCTCTCATATGAAAGGCAGGTTGCTATATAAATATACTGGTAGTTTTGCCAGAAAATGGCCTTGAGCCTTTGCAGTCTGCACTCTATTACCTTCTGTTGCATCAAGCTAACCGGATTTGATAAAATTTGTACATGTTATAATTGGTTTGCAGGGTGCTGAAATGAGGCGTTCCTCCAATTTGACAGGTCACCAAGTTCAGAAGCAAGCTAACTCTCCAAGGTAAAGAATGTGATGAAAGGATTGGGAAGTCGAACTCGTTACACTTGATTATTTCGGTCTGACAACTATTAGGTGCTTGACTAGATTCTATTAGACAGCTACAGGTGGTACTTTTCCTGTCTAATTTGCACCCTGGAAGACATGCATCTGAATAGCCTATTAGCTTTAAAATTTCAATCTTAGAATACCAAAGTCCCAAATTGGGTGCTTCTTTCAGATACCTAAATATTTTTCTGAAAGCCATCCGGTGTGACATCTTAGGATTTATTCATCTTCGGCTCTACAACTTTTAGGTGCTTGAGACGAGATTTCTATTGGATACGTTGGATTATATAAAAATAAAGTTGCTAAATTATCTGAATATGGTGATGGTAATGCCATTGAAACACCTAATATCTATAAAAATAATTAAAAATACAAGTATGCATCATGTAGAGGGAGTTTCAGCGGAAACCACCAAAAAAATGAAAAACTAAGGAATACCCTTGTAACCATTCGCCTAGATGGTATGCACATGTGCATACAAGTAATTGAAGTTGTTACCTAACAAATTGCTTTAGCAGTTACTTGTATGCACATGAGCATTACTAGAGAGCGTTTTACAGTTCTCCATTTTTTTGCAGTTTTCCCCTGAACCAGACCCGCCATCATCATGTATGTAGATTAAATAGTCCTAAATCACCCTTCCTCTTAAAAACATATAAATCTAGAAGGGATTTAACGACTTGCATATGGTAAAACACGAATCCCCTTACACAATCATTCATATAATCATTAAAATCTAACATCAAGTAGTCTCCATTATATATTTCTACTATTATCTTTGATTTGATGGATGAGTTAGAAGCTGTAACTTATAACCATAACATGCATTTGAGGATTCAAAGTGATTCAACATTTTGATTTGCATTCAAATCACAAGCAATTGTAGTTGGTTCTTGATTTCTTTAAATTTTTTTCATGTTATATAGGTTACCAGAATCTACGACAACTAAACGGTCAAAAGAAGAATTACTTCAAAATCCTTTAGATTCATCATCTTCACAGCAGCAGCAGCAGCTCAAGAAACGACATAGAGTTGTGTGAAAGACATTCAAAAAACGTACAAAATATTCAAAATGATGAAATGGGTTTTGAATCGAAGATTTTGAGGTGGCAGCAGCAGCAGCAGCTACATAGAAACGACAAGATGTTAGTGGATGTTGATACGAAAAGCGGTGTAAAGATGATCATGGAGGGTTAGGATTTATTGTTTTCTGTTGTTATCGATAGCAAACTCGCAAGTATTGGTTGGTTGATGGCAGCCATGGTCAGTTTTGGTCAGCCCCCTAGAGCAAAAGGTAAGGTTTGGGCTTGTAAATTGCTTCTTGTTTGTGGATTTAGAATAGAGAAAAAAGAAGTTTTAGTTCTTTAAGTTCATTAAAATTTCAGCATATACACACACACACACCACATGCATATATACATGTATACAAATATCATACATATTATGCATGTATATGTAGACATGCATGTATACATATACTTGGCAACGGCCCAGGCTTAACCCTTGGGGAGTTGGCTTTGGGTGGCTCAATTGGTAAGATCTTTGCTCTCAAGTGGTCACCGGTTTGAGTCCCCTTACGACGTCTGGCTGTTAATTTCTTGACCCTGTGTCGAGGTGTGTGCAAGTTGGTGTGAATACCTATGAGATACGGTTATAAAAAAGAAGTATATATGATATGTATTCAGATCATGCATATTCCAAAGGTCTGTTAATTTGTATTTGTGCATCCATGTTGAGATGAATGCTTATATTTCTTATTCAAAACCAAAAATTAAAATAAAGAAAACTAGTTAATTTGTCATGTATAATGCATACCTTTACCCTACTCACGAACAATAAACAAACTAATAGTAAACGAACATTAAATTATCATTCTAACCTATAATATGTTATTTTTTTATTCATAATTTTTTTTTCATTATTAACCATTTGATACAACTTATTCATATGTTTTATATATATCACATTCAATTAATTTTCTCAATTTATATATATATATATATATATATATATATATATATATATATAGGGGCCTATTTAAAGGAGAACCGAGTTGTTTGTGATAACTGTAAGAACCAATATTAACCACAAATCAATAGATAAATTAGGAAATTTATAAATTT